AGCTGTTTCTTAGGCCATTTCTCAGCCACTGGCCTCACACCCCCCTCCACCTCCCCCTGGTCTGTCGCTGATGGGCAGGGGCAGCCTGATCTGGGCAATGTCTGGGTGTTACGATGCACATTCCACTTACCGATGACTGAGCAGACCGTGCTCATAGGAATTGTCATCTCCTGATCTGTGCTTGATCTCTGATTTGCTTTGCAAGTTCATTAGTCTTCATGATTAAATGTGCCCAGGGAATCTCACAGAGACAGGTGTTTTTATTCTGAACCACTACTGTTACACTCAGACAGAGGCCACTTAAATAATTTTGTGGCTCATTAAGGTAATTAATATAACGTCTAACATCTAACCTCAATATTTAATTCAACTGTTTTTTGCAATATGAAGGTAAATTTCTACCAATATATTTCTATCTGTAAAAAAACCACAAGAGTTATTGAAGCACGGAAACGTGGGCATGCTGAAGGACAGCAGTCCATGGCCTGCTAGCAACAGAACCAATTAAGAAACAATATAGGCAAAACTGTTGTTACCTTTCAGTGTTTTTTGGCAAAAAAAATACTATTTAAATTTTGATATACAAAGGAAAAGCGATCAGATTTTATTATCCATAATAGAGCAAATTCCTTGAACGGGGAGCGATCGGGACCGTCCTCTCTAAGGTGTGGAGGAAAAGTTTGATCCGTCGTTACTTACTCGTTTAATCTTCTCGGGCATGCGAGGGCTGGAAAAGAGCGCACTTTCGTCTTGATAGCTGAATAGATTCGTGACACTAAGAACTAGTTCTAGAACTAAGAGAGTATCTGGTCGAGAAAAAAAGCAGAAATATTGCGGAGATCCGTAGCTAAGATTTCGGGTTTCTCCTGTTTATTTCTTGCGCCATATTCCTACCTAAAACTAAACAATTATACAGTACACAACACAAGCTTTTTCAAGACTTAAGGTGGCAGCTACATCACTACCACAAGGTTTAGCATGTGACTACATTCAGCTTGCATCCGATTATAATAATATTTAGCAAATAATGTTAAGTGTTGATTAAGAACGCGAAACGTTACAAACGAGAGGAGCCCAAACATGTCATGTAACGGGTTTGGTTCCTGAAAGCCAAGCAAGTCGAGGATTTTATCCAGCTGCTTCTTTAAAAAGTCCAGTGTGCTGGCATCTAAGATTTTTCTGAGGGGTACAATTTATTATTTCATGAAATGCAAGAAAACAAGTCATTTTACCGTGTATGCCGAGTCGTGGGTGAACGCTGCAGCGACGTTATTAGAAGCGGTTTAGTGCTGCTGAGATCATTTTGAAGTGTTTCATCTGGGGGTATTACAAGCTGGTTAGTGGAGCAAAGCTTTTCTTCAACGTTTCATCCTTGGAGATCACTCTCTCCAAGACAACCTCTGTTTACCGTGTCGTTAGTTGTTCTGAAACGAGGCCCGGGGGCTGTTCTGGTGAGCTGGGATTAACTGTAATCATGTGGGAGAGGCGGGCCTCCTGGGCTATATCGATTTTCACCTATTGTATTTGCAACAACCGGCTACCGGACCACCACATACCTGCTGTGCCAACACGCGGACACTTCGTGAACTGAACCGGCGATCCACATACGCACTATACAAGTTGAAGACTTTGTAACGTGTCCTGTTTAGCCTAAAAGCAAATATTTTATGTAGAAAATGGTTATCAGGTAAAAGTAATGCCCACAATTTAGTGGTGTCCATTCCTTTCAGACATAATCTGCTGTGTCTACACAAACAACCTTTGTTATAAATGAATGTGTTGATTTACAGATGAAAGACAATACTGAGAAGTATTGTATGACTAAAACCAGTTTAACGGTTTCACACAATAAAAAACCAAGAATATCCAATTAAAACCACACACAAGTTTACCTGTAGCACAGACAACATAGTTTTCCCTCTGATTTATATTACAAATTACCCTTTCAATCCTTAAGCACAATTCACAAAATCATACATTTACAATTTTAAAAGACTTGCAAATACGCCAATTCCTTTACCTCCAGAGCTACAGGCAAGTGCGCCAATGCTGCCTGCATTGTCTCAGTAAGTACCAGTCCAGACCTCCCAACAGAGAGCTCTCTGTACAGGCCAGAGAGGACAGAAAGAAAAGACTTACTGCAGCGCTCAGACCTGGATCAATTTAGCCACTACATCTTTCAAACATGAGAGGTCTCAAGGTGCCTGGGATGAATTCAACTTTCAATAAAGTATTTTTCGTGTGTTTAACTGTCCCTCACACCTTTATTTTGAATTAAAGTATCCAGCTGTTAAATGGTGTGCCTGGTGGTAGTTTAAGTACAGCATTTTTTCAAGAGCATCCACCAATAACAGCCATAATTTTCAAAAGCAGGAAACAAAGGATAAGTTGTGTAATATGGTGCCTTCTGTTCAGAATTAAAAACAATTCCCATTAGTTTCACTTCTTGTCCCTTGGTAGTTTTCTCGTTTCAAGATAAAAAGATTTAGTTGTTTTAGCATGCCAATGTAGGACACTCCTGTATGCCCCAAAATGCACCTGCTTGCTTTAGTAAACTGATTCCATTGTAAAATTACCTTTTACCTGGGACCCCCTGCAGAGTGAGGAGTGACCAAGGAGGAGCTGCACAGGTGGAGGAGAGATGCAGGAGATGAATGCAGGGGGGAAAAGTGAGGTGTATAGTATTGTACAGTTTTTTTTTTGTTTGAGGAAATGACATCAGGAATGCTTATGATTTAGGACAGCTGAGGCTGATTGAACTTGGCTACGGTCATCCCTCCCGAATGTTCATTGTAAACGCCACAAAAATTAAATACACCTCAATATAAGGTGTCCTCCAGCCCCAACAGATTTGAACAGTGGTATGAAAGCTAGCAGGTTCTGCTCCCTCTTGCTCGCTGTGTAGCAAGCTAATGAAGTCAAATTAACTGCAGTCTCAGCCTAGAAGGAGCAGCATTTCAGTGGGCGATGAAGCAAATCCATTGTTGCTTCAGTGCTCAGGAATTCCCGAGCTGACAAGTGCTACATAAATGAAAGCTATGCTACTGTGTCAAGTTCCAGATTAACTCTAAATCCATTCTACACAGCCCTCTTCATGCGTATGGACAGGGTAAGAGCTCAATGTACAAATGAGATAGATTTTGGTTCTTGTGACTCCACTGGTTGGGGATGATATCTACTCAGGTACACTCAACTATGGTAAAATGCTTATCTCTGCAAGTGCGTGCTCATTATTGTAATTGCGCTGAGATGAAACGAGCAGGGTTATCACTGTAAATGAGATGGTTTTATCATGTCAAATAAATAGCTATCATGGCCGAGCCACAGGTCTAATTAAGTGAAATAAAGTTACAGTAACCAGCTTCTCACTGCAGACAACTGTGTAGGGTGTGTAGCAGTACCAACATCCAGGTGGTACATGAGGAAGTGGGACTGGCTTGTTATGTAGTTACTAAGTCAGATGTACAGCAACCTCAAACCACATATCTAGTGACTCAATGAGGACATCAAGGAGAAACAACAAAGTAACACCAACACTATGAGTAATATTTTGAACATTTTTCATGATTCTCAACTGGTTTCAAATACAATCCCAAAAAATTATTTGAAACAGCCCAAAGTCATCTCAAAAAACTGAACACCGCATACGAGGGGGGAGTAGGGAAGGTCAGGTGGGGTGGAGGGGGTGGGTCAGGGTCTTTCTCAAACCACCTGGACTGCAGTCTCTTGCACTGGCCACAGGTGCGCTGGGGTTGGTGTGGGTGGGTTAATCTGGGTGCATCAGAGGGGAGGAGGAGGTCAGCAGGCGCAGGGCGTGCCTGCTTCCACCTCCACTGACAGTCCTTTGCTTAAGAGGAACGCTTCCTGTTTCGGTTCGCGACCCAGGAAGTTCTGTAGCATGTCGGCTGCGTCCATCGACCCTCCGGGTTTTAAGATGCAGTTCCTGTAGTCCAGGCCCACCTATTGGAATAAGAGGCAAGCGCACTGAGAAACACATATAGTAAATATGCAAAAGTAGTCTAAATGGTTCAGAGGACATGTTAGGGCTGTGAAGATTAAAGATTTCTCCAAGCCCATAGTTTCTCATTTCACCTCAGACGGCCATAATCACACTGATCTCTCCGTCTGCGTTCTCAAAGAAGTGTTTCTTCACTCCCACAGCAGAAAGACATCAGAAACAAAAATTCTCCTGAAACTTGGTTCACACCTTCCCCCTTCTCTCAATGACAGATTTGTTTTCATGTCATCTTCTCTATTCTCATGCAGGTTTCGACTTCACCCCTCTCTTCACCTCTCTCCACTTCGCACCACCTGAGTGGCCTCTCTGCCTCTCCCCTGCTCCAGCCTCCTCCACTCTCCCAGCTTTCGTTCTCCTGTGCTATTTAATCTTTGCTGTCTAACCTGTCTTTCTCACACCCGAAGAAGGCTCCACAGCCGAAACATTGTGTTTTCTTTTTTCACTTTTTTCACCGAGCCCCAGAACTCCTTGGGAAAATGAAATATTTAACAGATAAAGGTGTACTGACCTTGGGGTTCATGATGCCCTCCAGTTTGAAGCGGGCATAAAACATATCCATGGAGAAGACCTCACTCCACAGGTACCCGTAGTACTGAGCATCGTAGCCTCCGGCCAGGTGGCCAAATGTGGCCGGCATGTTGGTGCCTGAAGGATGGAGAAGACAGAGTTAACAGCCGAGCTCCTCCCAGCATGCCCGCCTTTCACAGCCATTTGGAATGTGCTACCCATCAGGCCCTTCTGTGTCCCACAGGAGTTAGCGCCTCCCGGAGGAGCAGGTCGTCTCTCACTGACATCGCGGTGAGCCAGCAGCATCAACAGCTGGGGGCTCCAAACTCCGGCACGTCTCTGTCGTACCTCCTGCTCCTTCCACTGAGTCGGCTTTATCAGACCTCCTTTTTTTGTACATGTTAATGCATTTTCTTCTAGCTCTAGTTATCGTGGTGTCATACACAGGTGCCGGTTCAGTAAGGGTGCGGTAGGACTCCATCACGGGGCTCTGTTTGCGCTCATTTCCCGAGCCCGGTTTCCCAGCCCCTGCCTGTCATACCTGAGGAAGCAGGCACCCCCAGGATGTCCCGGCACAGCCTGGCGTACTCCTCCGCCGGGTCGAGGCCCTTCTTGGTGTGCAGGGCCTGGTCCACCTTGGCCAGAACGATCTGCCGCAGGTTGAAGAGACCTGAGTGATGGAGAGCCCAGACAAACCGAAACATCTGTTACTCTAGAGCCAAACACAGAACATTCCTTTATTTAACGCACTTGGGATGGGATCAGGTTTCATACTGCTGTATTTGTAATTCTTTGCTATAGGGTGCTTTAAGGTGAAGCATAAAGGGAGTTATACAGCAAAAATATTGACTAAGCTCGATGTCTCTGTGTCACAATTAGGCCCTGGAGTTTTTCTTGAGTAATTTTCTGTCCTGTAGTTCAGGCGCACTTTATGGGCTGAACAACCTTATCCAGGGAGATATTAGCACAGACCAACATATCTGTCAGACTATAAATTACAGCAGTTTTCCCGAGCGAAGACGGTGTCAGTGTCAACAGTGTCCATCTTCGATGAAGGGAGCCATCGCATGACACCTACACTGACAGTCTAGTGTCACCATTTAACCTAAACACGCTTTCAACATGGGAGGAAAGCGCAGAAGACTCAGAAAACACGTGCGGACATTGAGACACCATGCAAACTCTGCACAGAAGGAGCCCAAGTCCAGAATGAAATCCAAGGACTCAGTACTCAGGAGCCATGAGGTAGCAGTGCTGACTGCCAACACCTCTGTGCTACCTGTCATCACATCTTCTTAAGGCTACATTTCTGGCTCAATATGGAAAATCAGTATCTAAATTATGTTAAGAATAAGCAAATCAGTTTGGGAAATGAGACAAATGCAGATCTGGACACCAGTGGACAGGACTTGCTCTGAGCACAGGATGACTACCCATTCCTGGACATAATGCTGCACTTCTTCTTTGCAGAACAGCCACAGAACCCAAACTGCGCACGGCCTCGCTCCAGGGGGTTACCGGTGTTGGCCAGGCGAGACTTGATGAGCTTGTCCAGCAGCTCCTCGGGGATGGGGCTGCCGGTCTTGTAGTGCTTGGACATCCGCTGCAGGGGCTCCTTCTCCCACACCCAGTTCTCCAGCATCTGAGAGGGCGCCTCCACGAAGTCCCGCTCCACGTGGGTGCCGCTGAACATGGCAAACTCCGTCTGCGGGGGCACGAGGCGTTGAGTGTGCGATCCACTTATTATTCTGGGTCATGCTAAATCCCCTGATGTTTCACGATTAGGACATTTGTTTACCATCTTGATCAATTAAGCAAGTCATTTTATAATGAAGGGAACACTGTTCCTTGAGGGATGAAGGATTTTTGTTCGAAACGATCCCTAAGTGACTTAATTGAACATAACACCTGTTTAATCGATCAGGCTTAAATTGTTTCAGGCCTGTACAAATTGTTGATTTAAAAGCGGTCTATAAAGCCTGTTGGACCGGGGTCATTTTCACTAATTTCAACACTGTATATAATGCAGAAAAAAGCCCTTAAATCTAAAATTCAGACCTAACTAGCTGAAATAGCTACACCTCTCTCAAGCAGTCGTGTTCATTGTTATACCGTTCCCACACAAGCGCAGAAGCCCCAGAAGCTCCAGGTTGCGCCACAGTACTCGGGGCCCTCCCTCACCTGTGCACAGAGCTGGTGCATGACGTGGCCGAACTCGTGGAAGTAGGTCTCCACCTCGTCGTGCTGCAGCAGCGAAGGGGCCTCGGCGGTGGGCTTGCTGAAGTTGGCCACCATGGCGGCCACCGCGATCTGCCGGGTCCCGTTAGGGAGCAGGCAGCCTGGCTGCAGGCCGAAACAGGCCGCATGGCCGTACTTCCCCTCCCTGCCAAACACAGGAGTTCAGCGCTGGGAGTGCGGCCTTACAGCTGCAAACGCATCGGTCAAACAGTTGTGGAGCTACTAGACCAGACTTCCTTTGGGAAAACCACCGGGGAAAAAAAACATACTTGTCCTACTACTATACTTACTACAGAAAAGGGCAGACCTCTGTAGATTGCAGATGAGCGTTTATCAGTATGTGGATTCAAAATCGACTAGGAAATTTTACCGTTTTGAAAAGTAGTCAATTTCACAAAACCACGACACAATTTTAAACCTCAAAGCAATAGAGACTGACAATGTATAGTTTCATCTTAGACCCAAAGAACACTCCATTGTGCCTTTTCATTTAGAATACCAGTTGGAGGTTACTGGATTATTACTTCCTTTTTAGGAAGAACATCAGCACTGCTGCATGATGCTCAGGTGTGTTGAAACACAAGACTCACCTGGGGAAAAGGTCCAGGTAGAACTGGCCAATGATGTCACCAGAAGCGCGGTCCTTGACAGTATACAGCTTGACGTCCTCGTGCCACACAGGGGCACCCTCCTCTAGCTGGAAACTGAGGCCCAGCAGGTCCTGGTAGATGTCCAGCAAACCCTGGGTGACCACCTCCATGGGGAAATACTCCTTCAGGAGGTTCTGGTCCACCGCATACTGGGTCTCCTCGACCTGGGTCATGTAGTACCGGGTGTCCCAGGCATGGATTTGCCCATCAAACTTCGGCCCCCGCTTCTCGCATTCCTTCTCCTTCAGTTTAAGGATGACCGCCCGCTCCTCCTGGCCCAGCGGCTTCAGCTTCTGCGCGAGTTCATCTGCACCAGAAAACCAAGCAATTACTGGACTGCTGGCAGAACAAACTCCTTCATGACCTCTTTGTGGAAGACGACTTTTCAGACACAAGTGCACATTAAGAAAAGGTGCATTTTAATAGTAACTAGGTAGGGTATCTTCATTACACAAAGAGTTTTAGGTGTCTGTAACAAGTTACGCACTCAGGCTGCTGAAGCTTACAAGGCAGGAATCCTTCAAGGAACAGCTGTATGAGATCTTGAAATCAATAACCTACTACCAACCAAATGATGAGCCAAACAGCCTCTGATACTTTAGCTTTCTCAAAGTTTTTTGTGCACTGTCCCAGAATGCATTTATGGTGGGTCTGCCAATCTGGAATTTAGGTGGGATTAAACAAATTGCAAACAACAAGCAGTCATATCTATGTTCCTATGTGAACAGATGCTCTGCCAGTTCTCAGCAGCAGTAGAAACACCGATACAGACAGAGAGAGGGTCATTTTTATATACTGATTATGTCGCTCATCTCACTCGACTCCCACTTTCTGGCCTAAGGCCAAAGAGGCTTCTAGGCAAAGAGGTTGGGTACCCAGGAACACAGCCACTTGTTTGCTGGACTTGGCCATGTTCATCTCCAGGACGAAGTCAGCGTGGTTGAAGAACCCAAGGAGGGCGCATTTCTGGGCACGCAGCTCCACCAGCTCCTTCAGGATCTCCGAGTTATCCTGCAGGGGGAGACGGGACATTCCTCAGCAGGGCTGCCCTGGACAAGCAGAGCCACAAGCTCTGCTGGACATCACTCCTGGCCCAGGAAGGCTCCAGATTCTCATTTCAGAGTGTTTGCCTTTCTGTTATTTTAGTAAACTCTGATTTCATTTTGAAGGAATCCTTAGGCTATACTATTCTGCTATTCTACTGATGCTGAAGTAAACTAAACTGATTAAGACAACACCTAGCACACAATGGAGCAGACAAACATGGTTACAGATGCTCTGGCAATAATGCCAGGGGCACAGAGATCTTGTGGGAGTCAATGGGACAACTTTGCTCCCTTTGGAGGAGTCGATTTCAACACCGCGGGGCTCTGGGAGTGAGTTCGGGCTGAGGAAGGAGCATGACCTCTTTGCATCGGGAGTTGAAGGCCTCCTCCATTTTCTGTCTGGTCTCGGGGACGTGGCACTTCTTCATGGTAGGGAAGTAGTGAGGGTACTTCAGAGTGACCTTTAGCTTGCCATCCTCGTCCGTCTCCAGGGAGCTGAGGAAGTCTTCAGGGAGTCCTCCTGGGAGAAGAGTAATCAAGGAGTATTGCACATCAAAATCTGGAGAAGTTCTGCTCCAGAGGAAGAGCGCCAACCTACCAACACCTCTTACACCAGCTATTTTTACTACTACAGTAGCACATATAAAAACAAAGACTAAAAATAATTATTTCACACACGTCAAGCAGACCAGCAGCCTAATCTGTAGAATAAGGGTGCTAAACAGATGCAGTCCAGTCCAGAGACAGTCTTACCCAGCTCCTCTCTGCTGAAGGAGAGGCTGGTGGTATCCTCATTCAGGTGCTTGTTGAAATCGATACACAAGTTGCTCAATTTCTTCTTGATTTTCTTAATTTCCTGAAAAAAATGAAGACGAAAAGATGTCCTATCTCATCTTTAGGAGAGACCGGTCAAGCCTTGTAGAGGAACAGGTGCTAATTTGGATAAGTAATATCTTTTTGCCTTTAAGTAATGCGAGGAAAGAGGTGTATGGGAGGTGTATGGGAGGTGTATGGGAGGTGTATGGGAGGTGTATGGGAGGTGTATGGGAGGTGTATGGGAGGTGTATGGGAGGTGT